TGGATGACAAAAGTATAAAGAACAACATCAGTTATATTCGCTTAACAAAGTAATCTTGAAAGTTATTCTTCTGTATCTTTTTGCCTGTGTGTGCACATCTCTATCTTGCTGCCGTTGTCAGGGAAACGGCCCCCTCCTTCGCTGCTCTGGCTGTGAATCTGAAGCAAAGCTACTGCTTTAGGACTTTTGGCTTTTCATAGTTGTTATTCCGTTAAATTTGCTAAATTTGCCATTTGAACATTGTGTTAGACACAGTTAAACGTTTTTAAACACCATTAGGGAATAGAAGTTTTGAATTAGTATGTTTTTGAAACCCAAAGATTAGTACAAAAAGCTTTGCTTTTCTTTTTAAATCTGCTGCTTATTTTGTGAGTCCATTATTGTATCTCTGATATATTTCATAGCTGTTTGTGAGAATTTTTTCATGTATTTTTTATTTTAGTTACAAAAGCCGTTTTTCAAACATTTAAATTAGAATCTGTTAAAAGTGATTAATGATTGTAGACTTCGTCTAAAAAAGAAAGAGGGAATTAGGCTGTAAAAGTATTATATTATTAAGTTAAACTACCCAATTCACCCAATTCACATGCAAGTGGTGACTTTTGTTTTTGTTTTGACTACACGCGTGACCTTGCTGCTGCTCAGAGACATGAGGAGGCAGCTCCGACGCACAATTGAGTTTTATTGAACCAAATCCAGTTTAGCTGGAGCTAAATCTTTTGTTTGATTTCAAGTTTTGTTTTAAATGTTTTTACAAATTAATGTTCATTTTTATAGAGATTTTTCATAATTTCATTTCATGGCGTCTTTCAAGAAACCCAAGGACGCATAGATAATTAATCACACAGTACAAAAGTATATAATACATGTTTTAAAGTTTAAAAGGTTGTTTGTTTTGAGTATAATTGTTGTTTTGATAACTTCTTTAGTTTCTGGTTTTAAAATGTCATCATTAGTAAGAGAATAAGTAATCTTTATTTACATAGCGCTTGGGAAAGCCAAGAGCGCTCAAATTGTTTTGACTTCAGAGAGAAAAACAATCTCATTCGCATACTGATATCTATTGTTTTTTTAAATTGGCTGTTTCAAGGATTGTTTTTCAGACTCTGGCACACTGTGGGAGAGGTCACTGCTGGACACTGGACAGCGCAAAGCCCACCCAGCCACAGGTCACAGATCAAAGAGCAAAGGAAAATGCCACCTCCTTGCCCCTCCCCACGCCACTGCAGAGCTGAGTGGGTGTGAGAGAGACCGGGGCCATGAAAGAGAGGTATCTGGAGACGTGATGGGTGGAGCGTCAGGTAGAGACCTAGAGGGAGTTGAAAGTGTGTCCAGTTGGTTTACATCACCACAGTGTGACCTTTGAGACCTACAGGTGGTTCGTGGAGTCTGGAGAGACAACCCCAAAATTCATACACACACACACACACACACACACATACACACTCATACACTCACACATTCACATTTACATATAGATACATGAAAAAGCAGAACATGAGAAAAAAGCATTTTAAAAGTTTACTCCAATGTAAACACATATTTTTAATTGTCTATCACTTGAATCTTTAGTTGAATCAGTATTTTTTGAGACCAGAAATGTTCATTTGAATTCTATATTGTCATGGACTTAATTGACCTCTGTCCTGACACTTTTGATTTGTTGATTTTGTACTGTGTGAAGTAATTACATTGATGAGAATTAGATCTGATAAAAACACAAATTAGAGAAGTAAACTGCGCTTGCTTTTTGTCTGAGAGACATTAGCAACAGCATGAATAGAAATTGTCTTTAAAGTAGAATCAAAGTGACTTAACCATAGAGAGTAACTATTGCATAACAAGCTGTGTACAGGAACTGAGACACTGCACCATTGACCAGAAGTGCATCGCAAATGACCTGATGTGCTTCAACTGAAAAGACTGTATCTGGAGATCTGATGTGCATCTGGAGTGACCAGAACCATGGCTTGGACCCTACTGATGTCCAAGATGACCTGACCTGATGACGACTGAGACTCACCCTCAGGGGACCCTGAGGACCTGAGGACCTGAGAGAGAAAACTGGGGAGTGATGTTTATATTTTTGAAATCATACATTGATGAGTGCTAAATGAGAGAGATACTCATGATTCTTTCTTTTGTTTTTGTTTGTCCCTAGCTTCTGGACATCTGATGATCTATTGGACACAGACATTTGCAGAACAAGAACCAGCCAATGAAAAAACGTCTATTGCTGATGCTATTGCTACAACCAGAACCACAACTGTGACAAATGCAATATACATGTTAAGTATTCAGACATCTGACAGACAAAAAACTTTGAAAATGATAAAGTATAAGTATTGTAGCGTTTTAGTAGATGTTAAATAGTAGTAAAAGAGTAGAATTGTCCTTCCTTTGTTTTTCATAAAACACATTTCCACATAAGAGGTTAAAATAGTACCCTACAATGTTATCCTTTTGATAGATCAGCTAAAATATTAGAATCAGAGTTATGTTACAGCCATTAAAAGTGACAGAAGTCACAAATTAGAAATATGCCTTTGCTCAAGCTGCAGCCGAGCTTTTGAGTTAAAAAATAGAGTAAAAATAGGAATAGATAAATGCATCAACCATAGATGCTTTCAAAAATAGAGATTATTTGTAGCCAGTGTTAATATCAAATGGTAAAGGGACCATTTCACAAGCATTTACTTCAAAAGTAGATAAAGTTACTTACAGTTTATGTACAGTTTTATTAGATACTTGCCAAATTCACTTGTGTTCAAACATGAGTGAATGTTGACTATGCAAAAAGTCCATATGAGTGTAGCCTAGATTAATGCCTAGATCAATGAGATAGATTACAACCAACAGAGATTCAAAAGCATTTAAAAGCATTTTGATGCATTTGGGTGTAGCCCAAAAACAAAATAGTAGATATTTGGATATCTTTGAGAAGTTTAAAAAGCTGTAGATTCACCAGCACAGATTAGAATCAAACACCATTGTAGAATAACTGACCCCAACCCCAAACCTGCTAAAATAGATTAGCTACTATTAGGATAATACTAATTTGATTAATGATGTTCATTCATCCCAAACTGCCTGACAATAATATCTTTAGATAATAAAAAGTAATAAATCACTGACCACTATAGAAGTGTAAATGTTGACCATTTGCCTTACTGTGTTCACAGTTTTATTCCTGAGAATGAGAATAGACATGGAGCAAAATCCCACTGATAATAAGCCACTGATAATGAGAGTATAAAAACCACAGAGAGATTTATTAGATTAAAATGTATGTTTAAGAATATGGCTCAATAGAAGCAAATATGCAACACATATTTGTGAATAGATTAGAATAGTTTTAAACTATAGTGAATAGTGAAAGTAAAGTACACAGTCTAAGATTGAAAAGTGAAAATAATACAGTGGAGTGTAGTGTAAACAATTAGCATTAGAATAAAAGTATAGAGTAATAAAAGTGAAATTAGCTTCAAAATTGAGACTCAGCTCATTTTTGTCTGTGTTTTGACTGAATCTGCTGAGTTCTACTGTGTCCAATAGTTTTTGTTTTTGTTTGTTTTTATTTTTGATTTGTTTTTGTTGGTTTATTTGTTTTGTTTTTTTCCCAGGATAGAGGATAAATTCCACTGATATTGATTTGGATGATTATGAGTTTAATGCATACATTTTCTTTGTTTTTAATAATTTTTTTAAGTTTTTTTTTGGATTTTTTTTTTTTTCTCTTTTTCCACTTTATTGATTGATCAAATTGAGTGATCACATGTGATTATGTGATCAAAGGGGAGGGTGTTAGTATTAGATAGCAATATGGCCTACGTGCAGGACTGTACTGTAACAAGGACTCCATGCTATGACTATGATTTGACTGTCTCTTTGTGACACGTATGTCTTTTCATGTGTGACGTGACAATGACTATATAAACTGTGTACTGCCTTTATTCTGTCTGAGAGAAGGAAACAAAGTAAACCAGTGGAACTTGAGAGAAACTTAAATAAACTTCCAGAGTTTGGCGCACCACGATCCGTCTCTGTCTGCTGAATCCTGACACATCTATTGCATCTGTGGTTATTTTTAGGCCCGAGCCCCAACTGGGTTAAGGGCCTATTGCTTTTCCAACGAGTAATGCGTTGTAACAGTCATAAGTCACAATCTCCGGGAGCACATTTACAGATTGTGACCTGCATGCGACGGCACATGCCCGACACTGATAAATCCGTGCTGGAGGCACGGAATGGCTTTGCTCCTGCTGTAGTACACAGTGAAATGATTGAGGTCCTGTTAAAGGGGTGGGTTACTTCAACTATGTCAAAGTTTTACATGGGCTTTTTCCAATTTAGTTTTTTCAAAATGTTTAAAATTTTGCACATAATTCTGTTTCGTCCTCTGGATTCAAAAAGTCAATGACAACATATGCCTAATTTTTACCCTGTTGCCGTGGCAACAACAAACATTCTCCCTTCTTTGTCTATGGGAAAATTGTCAAATCTCTGAAAAGTACACCTCGCTCAAACATCAAACCAGCCGTGGACGTCTCACTAGTTTGGTTGAAAATTGCTCCACATCTTCTCAACACATGGACCATCAATAGTTTGAATTAGTCAAACGGTCTGCGCGCGACAGATTCCCAAAGTGTGGTTATTTTCATAGAGAGGTGTGAAGTTCCCATGTTATCCAATGGAGACTGTATGGACACACTCACAGATTGTATGTGCAAACAGGAGCACATTTACAAACTCTGATTAGCACTAAACTTGACTCGGTTGTTCAACCCCTGGGCCTAGGTCACATGACAGTGTGAACAATGACATTGGCCCATTAGTGCCCCCTGCAGACTGAGTAAAGGTTTACATGGGAATAAAGGTATTTAGGTTTTCTGTTGTTTTATCTCATATTTGACCCACTGAATAAACACAAAAACTCACCAAACTTTGCCACAAGTTTTTTTTCAGGCATAAAATGTATTATTTTGGTGTTCTTTGGTATAATGGTGCGTTCAGACCAAACGCGATTTCTGCGGCCAAATCGCGTCTATCGCGCGGCTTGAGCCGCTTGTGACAAATTGTGGCAGCCGCTGTCACAGGGAAACTTGGCCGCACGGCCAGGACACTAGAGGGCAGCCGCTGTCACAGAGAGTTGAGAGCGTTTAGGGGCGGGGCTTGTCTCTTTTGCCTGTAGCTTCCCAACATGGATGTCAGCGAAGGAGTTGCTTTATCTGATAAATAAAGCCAGACACGTCGTCAAAGGGCGAATCGACGACGTGTCTGGATTCACCAGATAGTCCGTAGACGGTTGGAGTTTGGTGAGTTTCACCATTTGCTCCGGGAGCTGCGCTCGGATGAGGGTCGCTTTCAGCGGTACTTTCGTCTCTCCCTGGCCCAGTTTGACGACCTACTGACCCGCATTGGCGCAAGGATCTCCTACCAGGACTCCAACTACAGGCGCTCTATTCCAGCTGAAGAGCGCCTGTCCATCTGTCTGCGGTTAGTGTTTTTTACCCCATTCAGAATTCCTAAAAACTTACAAAGTGTGTCATTTTTCAATCACAATCCACAATGTAATTGCTCAGAAAACAGTATTATGCAACAATATGGTGTCTATGATTACTGTCTATGATGTTTACTGTCTACTAGTTTAACGTATTTTATGCTACACAAGTTTTGTCACGTGATTTTTATGAATGTAATTGTGATAAATATGTTCATATCATTTTGTAATTGCAGGTTTCTTGCCACTGGGGACTCCTACAGGACCATTGCGGGGAGCTTCAGAGCGGGCATATCCACCGTCTCCATGCTCATCCCAGATGTGGTGGCAGCCATCTGGGACTGCCTCGTGGAGGAGTTCATGGCTGTGCCTGGAGCAGAGGAGTGGAGGTCCGATGGAACTTCCCTCTGTGCTGTGGGGCCATTGATGGGAAGCATGTGGCTGTGAAGGCACCCCCCAACTCTGGGTCCATGTTTTTTAATTATAAGGGGCACCATTCCCTTGTGCTCCTGGCTGTAGTGGATGCCCAGTACAGGTTCAGGGTGATTGATGTGGGAGGGTACGGCAGATCCAGCGATGGAGGCATCGTGTCCAACTCTGCCTTTGGTGAGGCTCTGCGCGAGGGCACACTCGACCTGCCTCCTGACCAGTGCATACCTGGAGCTGACCACAGAGGACCCCAGCCCCATGTGTTCGTGGCAGATGAGGCCTTTTCACTGCGCTGCAATTTAATGCGCCCTGCCCATCTCCAGGATGAGGATGAGGATGGCTGGAGATGGGCAGGTTCCTGCACCGAGGGGAGCTGCTGCCGGTGAAGAACCACTTCCAGGCGTGCAGCGGATGGCCGCCTGGAAGCCAGCAGTGGACATAAGGAAAGTGTTCATGGCCCACTTCAGTGAGGAGGGAGCACTGCCGTGGCAGCCCACAGAGTAGTCATGTCCACCACAAGACTGACCCACATCTGGCCATAGTCCAAACCCATATTGATTTGCACTATTCTATTCACCTGTATACCTTCTGTTTCTAGGTAATGACTGCCAGACTCCACTGCGACTCCACTCCAACTTCAGGTTAATCATATGCACATTCAAGCTTTTCCATAATTACAAGGTTGTTAAAACAGTAAAAGGTGAAATGAATAAAAAATACTGTCAACTACTGTATCGCTCTGTAAGTGTTTGTTATTCCATCTTCTATAAAACCCAGTCAGCTCTTATAAAAGTAAATGTACAAATATAGAATAGCATTTTCTGTCAATATTATATGAAAGGTAGTAATGGTTGGCTTGAAGTAGAACACATGAGGTTTGAAAAATATTTTCTTTATAAAAAAAGGAACAAACAATGAAAAATAAATGAAATGTACATATAAACAAATGAAAAGGAGCTTGCTTGGAGGAGGTGCGGTGGAAGAGGAAAGGGACACATGTCTGTTTCCTCCCCTGCAAAAGGTGTTACCTTAGGTAAAAAAAACTGTACTGGCCAATGGTTCCAAATTAAGCAGAACGGTGCTGCTTTCATATAAAAGTTGGTACATTTTGAATTTCACAAATTCTTTTGACTCTGGTGCCACCCTTTGCAGGAGAGGAAAGAGAGAGAGCAGGAACTGATGGTCTTCTGAGTAGTCGGGCGGTCCGGCTGCTTTGGTCCGTAGAGTCTCCAGCAGCTCCCGCTCCCACTCTGAAGGCCCACCAAGGAAGAGGGCTCGGAAGAGGCCCACGTCCGTAGAGCCGCCAACAAAGAACACAGGGCAATCACAGTGTTAAAAAGTGGAACATGTATTTCAAAAAAGCAAAATGAAGAGAGCAAATAATATCTGTATTAAAGCCAGAGTGTGTAGACATAGTTAAACACATGTAAAACACTTTTAAGTTGTGTGTTTGTTACAATTAACTTGAACATTGCAGTTATCAATGAAATTACTCACACATGCACAAATTTCGACAGTTACAAACTAATATCTCTGAAGTGTATTTCGCAATGAAATTTGAAATTGGCTGTAAAAAAGTAATACTCTATTGTCTGCATTAAACAGGATAGCTGCCATCTTGTGGCAACCATTGCATGTATTTGTTCAGTACTTTTATAGCATAAGGTATTTCAGTAGTATGTTTTTATCAAAGAAAGAGGGAAGATGTGTTGTATCAGACCAAAGCTTCTTTCCACCTGTAGTGCCTTGACATCTTGTCGTTTCTCTGTAAATTTGTCGTCTACACTGATGTAACAGCCCTTGGGTAATTTTGGCATATTATGCAGTAACATTTTGTTTATATGAACAGTCCTGTAATAAGAATAAAAATATAACAATGATTAAAAAAAGCCACACCTGTAGGTGCAGAAGCAGGGGAAGGTCCAGCCCTCACAGAAGAAGAACCGGCTGAGGAAGCAGCAGCAGCAGCAGCAGCAGCTCAGGCCAAGATGTCTCACCTTGTGTGGTGGTGGCAGTATCTGCGCCAGAAGAAAACAAGAAATACAATTATTTCATATCATGTGTACATTGCGCTTATGACATTTATATGTACATAATAATGTACATTATTATGTACATTTAAATGATTTGTTCATATAAAAGGGAAAAGTGAAATTTAACACAACACATGATCAAGATCTATCCTGGTTTGAAAATAGCCAATGCCTATTTTCACCTGGCCATGATGTTAAGAAAGCATTAAAAGAAATGCATACACAGAAAGCAATATAAATGTAAAAGTCAGCAAAATGTGGGTAATAGAAAGGAAAGAAATGTATTTTTTCCAACTGTTCGAGGTCTCCGTTTGCTGCATGACACCGACCTTCAGCACCTCATATGTGTCCCTCAGATTCTTCCACCGCTTTTTGCAAACTTCCACTGAATAAACACATCAACTCGTAAGCAGGAAAGTAGTAGTTTTTTTCGCGGGGAAATATTTACAACATTGAAAAGTTAAAATAACTTACCCGAGACACCAACCACCTCGCTAACCCTCCTCCAAGCAAGCTTCTTTTTATTTCGGTCCCGGTAGCTGTGGTCCGCAGTGTTGTATAGCTCAGAATGAGCACCGACCTGAGCAATTGACGTGTCCTCCATAGCTGTCATCTACCAGTGTTTTTCCGGTAGTGAAATGCGTCACTACGTCACTGGAGGAGAAAGCTCCTGATTGGTCGGCACACGCGAATTCTCCCAAAAAGTTCAACATTGTTCAACTCTAGCGGCGGCCGCGTTGGAGGCACGAATCGCGCGAAACGCGCGTCAAAACGCTTGACATCTCAAAACACGCCGCGCGAATCGCGCGAAACGCTCGAATTCGCGCCGCTCTGGCCGCGCGAATCGCGCCGCGTGATCTCTCGCCGCTCCTTGGCGCGCGTCCCCCATGTTGTGTCAATGTAGACCCGCCGCTTTGGCCGCAGAAATCGCGTTTGGTCTGAACGCACCATAAGTCTAAAAAATTGAAATTGTAGGGGGCGCTATTGTACAACATTAAATGCCACCATTTGCACATACAAAGTCCGATTTGCACAAAAATGTAATTGATTGTTCTACTCTTGGGTTTGAGTAAACTGAAAGCGTGAATTATGAAATTTTAGCAATAGCGCCCCCTACAGACTGATACAAGTCTTACATGGGGAGAATGAGGTTTACCTTTTCAATAGATGCACACAATTACTGATCATAGGCATTCAAAATGCACTGTGTCGCTCCCGTCAGGGCTCCTTTGCGCGGTGCGGCGAGGGCCGTTCGACGCCGCTTGCGGCTTTAATTTTGTATTTACTTTTGCACATTATGGAAATATATTTTGAGTTTAGAAATTACTTGTTGGTAGATGCCGCTAAACAAAATGAGTTCAGTCCAACTGGACCAAAGATAAATATGGCTGAGTACTGTAGACTGGTTTACAATATTTGATTTTCTTTAATACACTTTTGTATGATTTTGTAAGTATGTATACGGTATATGAGTTAAAAACCTAAAATAAGCAGCTCGATGTACCGCTTTGGTCAATCTCAATTTGTCGTCACACACACACACACACACACACACACACACACACACACACACACACTCTGTACTTACAGATGTAGGCACATTTCAATTTGGAGAGACGAGAAAACAAGTTTTGAGTATTTTATGAAAGGAGGTTTGGCGCCCTAGGTCCCGGTGCGGCCTTCAGATCGGAAAGGCTCCTGCGATGGAGCGCGCACAATCCCCCGGGACCTAGGCACTGGTGGCGGCATTTGGCAGCGGGAAGCAGATTGAAGGCAGATTGGAGGCAGGGTGAAGAGGAGGAGGAGGGGAGGCGGTGGTTGCAAGGCTTCAGAGGCCGAGAGTGGGAGATTCTCCGTTTTTATGCGGCTGGCGAGTCGGTACAGATGATTGGAAGGGGGCGTCTGCTGAGCGATAGGCTGGGGATGCGAGCCGGCCTGGAGGGGGTAATTTTGGTTAACGTCTACCAAATTGAATTTTCGCTGGCTGCATTTGAAATCTGTGATGTGTTTTTGGGCATAGATAAAACAGTTTTGTTGCCTGTTTTGGAAATATACAGGTCTTGTTGTTAGTGTAATGTGATTTCCTCTCCCAGTGAGGAGGATTCTCTTTATCTAGGGTCTTGAGAGACACAGATGTTTGTTGTATACAGTTTGTGGGTCCTAAAGGAGGATATCTCAGCTGATGGAAGTTGAATGCACTCCATGAATGAGGAGAGGGCCCATTGTTGAGCTCTGTCCAGTGTTGGTGATCTGTGAATGCTGACAGGACGTTTGGCTTGACTGAGCCGGCGTGGTGCATCCACGAAGGCCGTAATGGACGCACTCGTCTTGGTCCAGGCTGGTAAAGGCTGTTGTGTCTTCTGTATGGATATGGGACTTTAAAGATGGCGTTATCACTCTGAGCATTGTGAAGAGAGTCTCTGCTCCCTCTTCTTTAGGGGCAAACTTTCTCTATCAGTCACTCAGGAAGAGTACACGCATAAACTCATTTTTCTGGTGCTCGCTCTTCCTTCATTTTCTATTTCAGCAACACAGAAGTTCGAATTTGCCTGAAAAGGAGAAGACAGGTTTCAGTAAAAATTGCAAGTAACTAAACAAACTGATAGAGTAGTGCACAGCTGGTGATTTCTGTTTCATGGGCCTCTCACTGTAAAACCATTATCTTCACTTCATGCAAACAATGAATTCCTTCAGCCAAAAACGATTTTGATGGGGCTTAGATTATGTGTTGCTATGGTAGCAAAGTTCTGATGAGGCAAAGAATATGTGGAAGGCTAGACTTTTTCCTCTGACTTATACGCAAACATGGGGTAATTATAAGAAACCTGCGTAGCTACTATATCGAAGGCACAGACACAACAACATGATGCAAACAACATGATAAAAACATACATATTACCTGGAGTGAAGATTCTTATATACCATTCTGAGCTGTGTTTCCAGTCTTCCAGTTGTATCAAAGGGGTCCTTTAATACCTAATAATAAACACACATATGTAAATGATTCTACAGCTACAAGTGTGGGCAAATCAGCCTGGTGTAACCTTAGTATTGTGCTTTTGTATATAATGCGTATACATCTGACTGAACTGTAAAAAACAAGACCATTTGTAATTCCTCACCCCAGTACTTTGACAGACGTTCAGGTAGCTTCATCCTCTCAGACATATTCTTGGGACAGACAGCAGCAGCTGTTCCTTTAGACACCTGTCTGGTGCAGGTGCTCTCTCTGTGCAGGTGAAGTGCACAATGAACATTCAGACAGTAGACTCCTCTCTCTCCTTTCCTCCTTTGCTCCCCCACTCTCCTCATCCAGTCCTATTAACCTTTCTTAGACACAGCTTGGAGCGCTGTTTTCCATCTCTCTGTCTATCCGTCAGTGCGGCTCACATCTGCTCCTCTGCTGATGTCTCTCCTTCATTTGAAATCACCCTCCTTCACTCGTAGTTCGCCATCTACCGTGTGCAGTAGTTGGAGGTATGATTAGAAATGAGACCGCAGAGGCACTCCGCAGTTGATGGTAGGCGTATACAACTGCCTGGTGGCTCGGATGCTTTGCTTTTTGAAGTGGAGGCGACAAACCAACACCGTGGACCAGTAATTTCCACTGTTGAGCAAATCCCACTTAAACTTGACAAATTCATGGGTTCTAACATACCAGTGATTTTAGTTGCCCCCAATTATCCCCCTCTACATGACTTATTGAATGAAAGTAATGTATGGTATTTATATAGCATCTTCCATGAAACCCACAAGGCTTTACACTGCATCATTCATTCGTCTACACTTGGTGGAGGTAGTAAGCTTTGTAGCCACAGCTGCCCTGCGACCAGATTGACAGGCAGCCAATCATCAGTCCCTGACTTTGCTTTAACAAGCAGTATTTTTTTTAATTTACCAATATTTAACAACAGGGTTGTTTATATTATATCTTCCTAATGGTTGAAGTCTATTTTACACATTAAAAAGGTACACACATTTTCCCTCTGGTTTGATAGTAATGCAATACAACCATCATAAAACAACCTGTAGTTATCGGAGTCCGCCACCAGAGGACGACATGTGCAGTGTTTTGTGATGGAGGAAGATGAACTTCTGAAGAAAACATCTTGGTTCTCTATGTTGTGAAGTTGAACCCATAGATCTTTGATGCGTGTAAAACGCGGATCTATTATTACATGTTCCACAACGGAGCATTTGAAGAATGTAACTGAAGAGCTCACACCCGCAGCCCACACATCTGCCCCTGGGGAAGATTCATGTTTATGGTCAAATATGTTTTTCTTATTGTTATTATCAGTTATTGTCTGACATTGTTATTTGGAACTGTAAGATTACATTTACATTAGCTTTGAAAGTCCTCCCTACTCGCTACAAGCTCAAAATAATAGTTTTTTTGTTGTTGTGTGTAGATGTAATGTTCCACTAATAATCTAAGGACTGCATCGGCAATTGGTCATCTTCAAGTCACTTTACTTTGAATTTAAGATCTTCCACCGTACGACATTGGGGTCAACTAATGATGCAAGTCAAATTTCCTCAGACATATCTCTTCAACAGTTTTCTCTCACTAATCCTTGGTATAACTTTAGGTTCAGACCACCAACTTGAACTATGATCCATCTAACAAATTTCTCGCTCTCAAAATAGTGTTAACAGTATTTATATGTGTACCTAATCACTTAGAGAAGCGCTAAATCTAAGTAATTTTCCCTTATATGATTGCAATGTTGCTTTTTTGCATTCATGAACAAATACAATAAGACACAATTTTACTATTTTTATTTTACATCTTTCCTGAACATTGAGCTGTTTTAAAGTCCATCAAATGTAAGTTATTGTAATTCACAGTCAAGAATAACAAAAGCCATGTGCCTGCTCTTCGGAATGAGGCTGCAATGACATAAGCCCCGCCTCTGCCCTCCTCTCATTGGTCAGGCTGTCTGCTCGTCTACAACACAACTTCTCCTCTCCTCATCAGCTGCTGAGGAAGGGACTCTCGAACCAGTTTGGAGCAGCAGGGCTGAAGGGCTGGAGAGATGACCGCAGCAGTCTGATTCTGTCCCTTTCTGCTTTTCCTGTGACCTCCTGCAACATGAGTTCTGCCAGCGCACGCAAGACGAGTGAGTATGAGCTGGCTTAAAAAAAACGGAACCTATATACAAATAAATACACGCGTACACACACACACACACATACGCACAAACACACAAACGCACGCACGCACACACACGCACTGCCGTTTTTGGTAATGCTGTCAAGGCACCGACACTGAACAGACTATGCGTTCAAAGTTTTGCCTGAATAATAATAGTATAATAGTGTAATAGAAGTAGTTCTTGCCTTAATATGAAATGTATTGCATTCTTGAGCCATGACACACTTTATAAGAGATAAACAAACTTGTTATGGATGTCTTGGTTTAATTAAGTATATTTTATTATTTTTTGTTCAATTTGGAGGAAGTATGCAAGGGAACTCTGGGCATGTCTATACTCAGACTGCTGCCTGTGCTTTACCGGCCCTGGACAAAGTGGAAGTAAATGGATAGATGGATGAACTAAGTATGCACATTTTTATTCCCTTAGGCTCTGAGACATATTTTAGGCCTTTAAGAAGACATAAACAGGGCTTCCAACTTTATTTCCACTCTCAAGCTGATGCAGTAAATAGACGGAGGCTGGATAACCCAATAACCTACTTATACGTAGATGAATTAAAGTCTTTCTATACTTACTGGAGGTAAATTGGTTTGGAAACGTATTTTCTCAGGAAAACAAACTAATTCATAATAAAAAATAATTCTATAATTCTGTAAATCAGTTTAAACTCTTCTTTCCCTTTGGTCCAGTTCTCTATCTGTTTCAATCCAACATTAATGAACTAATTTTGTGCAGCAAAAACTACCAAATTATTTGTTCAAAATTTTGCTGAATCAAATTTACCTCAGAGGATTTGTAATATTACTGTTTATTGTTTTGTTTGCAAAAGAATTTAGTCCATGGAAAAATAATTGACTGTCATATCTACCGTGACAGTCAATTACGGTAGATATGACAGTCATATCTACCGTAAAACACGGTGTTTTACGGTAGATAAAACACAGTCTATACGGTAGATATGACTGTAAAACTTGTATTTACCGCAGTTACATCAATCATCAATCAGTCCAGGAACTAATTTCCCCTGAAGAATATAACCCAACAATAATCCACACACCTTGATACCAAACTTTTTAAACATCTTTGAGGCTTTTTAACCATGTTACAACATTGTTCCTCATCAAAAACAGACCCAGAGTTGTTTTTAGATTTTGCCACACTGCTCTGTCTAAAAGCTCTTGTCTCAGTCCTGTAACAGTATGATGTCATTGTAACTCTCTCACATCACATTTATAGCAGTTTTCCGCTTTTTAAAAGAGTATTGTCCATGAATTAGTTTTGGAAATTTCTCAAGTGAATATCTTACAATGGCATACCTTACAATCCCATGGTCTTCATTTTAGAATAGACTTTTTAAAATAGAAAAATATCAACTCCTCCTTCTGGTGGTTGCATAGAAGGAGGAATATTATCACCTTTAAACGCCCAAATAATGCTGAGTATTTCTTCTTTAAATCAAAATTTTTCACGTTCCACAAATTTTAGTTGTTAATTTTTCTAAACCTCAAGCAGCGATGACTGAAAAGACCGATAGTTGTAAGCGAAATACTGCTGTTGTGTGGATGCTTCCTGGAAGAGAAAGTGCTGTTCCAGCCCAAATCCAGCCCAGGAATGTTGAATCATCACGCTGACTAATGCCCTCCTCATATGGAGTGCTCTTATGCCTCTGCTGGATTAGGGCCACCACACAACTCTAGACAAAACCTGGAGCTTCTAATGGGATTGTGTTTCTCTATCCAATCAGCTTGTTGTCCCACAGACACACAAACCCACATTCACCAGGGGATAGTCAGTCTGATATAATGGTTGTTCAAAAGGCCTTGAACATGCCGGCCCCCGTCAGCTGCTGCTTCTGTGGGAATATTGCGGATGCAGTGCTGGTCCTTGCCTTCAGGGACCCTCAGCAATAGTATCTGGCGCCCACTCCACTGATACTGACTGAGGAGTTTAGGGAGTTCAGATTAAATGTTGGAAAGACTAGTCGAATTTTAGCTTTAGAATGTGTGGGGAGTGGCTGAGTGCTGTCCTCTCATCCACCGCGCCGCCACAAGAAGATCTTGCGCAAGATCTTCTTGTTTGAATCCCGGTCGGAACAGGGTCTTTCTGAGTGGAGTGGTTTGCATGTTCCCCCCCATGTCTGTGTAAGTTTCCTCTGGGTGCTCCAGTTTTCCCTTGCAGCTGCTTAGTCTGCTCATAGGGCCAGTCCTGTGTTGATAGACCAGGTGTTGTAGTGGAAGTGCAAGCAGAGCAGAGCTAATGCACTGTATAGTTCATTTCTTTGAGGACAATAATTGTGAGAAAAGTGTTTGTGCTGGCCTCATCTTCACAGACTGGATAGATATGAGCACTTTTGAATTACTCTTTACAAATCCCTTCATCATCATCTGGGTCAGCTCCAAAGAGCTTGGAGGCTAAGACAAGACTTTTACATTTTTCTGTCAGTACAGGCCTAATTATCTGATATCGCTTTAACCTTCGTGGGAAAATGCTCATAAATCCATGTTAAAGTGGCTACAATTATTCAGATATTGATTTTATTTGATCTCTTAGAATGTTAGTGTGGCAATACAGAGGGGGAAAAAAGCACCATGGGCATGACACACAAACATGTTCTTTACAATAAGGCAATACAAAGCAAACATTTGTTCAAATAAATAACATGTCCTCGTGCATCAGTCTTTGTAGAAGGTTATCTTGATTCCTCAGGGCACACGTCTGTGCACTGACCCTCACAGTCTCTTGGTTATTGTCTCTTAACTGCAGTTTGGTCCATCCAGAAAAAGAAGAAGCGTGCACACCGACAGCACTCTACAACATTAAACATTGAAATAAAATAAGATTTCGCACATTGAGATTTGAACATATCAGAGCCATGTGTAGTGCTCACTGCACCATACGTTGGATAGAGGAGGCAAGGCAGCGTGAGTGAAGCACTTTTATATCACGCCCCCTACTCTCACGCTCACGCCAGCTCACTACATTAGCAATGAGGCAGCTCTACATTTTCCACTAAAAACATGTGCTTCTGTATGCCAATCCCGCTCCCATCACTGTCTGAGAAGAAAAATGGCCAGAACAATTGTACAGCACTTTGTGACTTTGTCAGTGAACGGCACAGTATATAAGCATTAAGTATATACTGTAAGTAAACATTACATTAGTTGATTCTTCCAGTGTTTCCAATGTGGATGAGAAAACCCTATTGTGAAGTATCCTAAACTAAAAGCAACAGCACAGATGCACAGGGCGGCCACCTGTCTGCTCAATGAACACGAGCCGTTTTCTATTTCAAGGCCTTTGAAAGGAAAGAAGTAGAGGGCAGCTTTTAGGATTGAAGGTTTAAACGTCTTCAGTGCGCTTTAACTAGCGGCTTCATTATCTGGCCAATTACCACGCTATCCCTCAAAGCTAGAGTCACATAGGAATTACCACAAGAGCTGAAAACTGTTAACAGCCTGCATACGAAGGCTGGGGTCAATATTTAGCCTTGAGGAAAGATAAAATAACAAGAGAGGCTTTCTACCTAATGAGTCTGCCCTGTGCTCCCCTACGCACATGCAGAATATCTGATAATGTAATGTTCATATAATGATCATGTGGCACTGATTGCTTCTGTATGACGTGCCTTCCACACAAGTGGCTTTGTTCCATAAAGGTCTTTAAGGCTGTCCTAGCCCCAGGAATAAGGAGTAACAGAAGGTTCTACCCTTCTAAGATTATGGCATTGAGAAAAATAGTCCATCTACTGCATACATTTCACAGTCATTTCTGTAAGTATTACATTTAAAAAACAAATGGATTAAGAAAATGTAAGATGAAAATCTTCTCTTTGCATGAAACAGTTTTTAAAAAAACAGTTTAGAGTGAGTGTCTGGTGCACCAAGAAGATGTGATTGTACAATGCATTAAGAATGAAGGGATGGTGCATTTAAAATGGTGCACAAAACGTCTGTCGATATATTGTGCATTAAAAGCGTTATGAATGAATTGTTAATTGGCATTGGCAATTAAAGCAGTAACAACCATCGAGATCCCTCGAGAAGTGCTCAACATCAGGGGTGGTTATTACTGACCCAACCATACCCGCGTCAAAGAGAACCTAATGGCAACATATACAAATACAATATAATCAAACAAAGCACTAATCCCAGAATCAGAATCAATTTATTGCCATTTGCAGAAAAACTATATAATCCCTGTGGCAAACCAAAGGCTACATTGGAGTTCTGGTTTGCATTCTTAAACTACTACCTACACGCCAGCCAGTGGAGACGCATGGGTCGGAGTAATATAACCCAAAGAAGATATAAAAGAAGTACAATGAAATCAAAATTGAAATATAAAGATTGCATAGGTTCAAACTCATCCAGTTTTGAGGAAAATCCATGCACTTCATTCAACAATTTCCCAATAGATGTATAAAATGGATTTCATAGACCAACATAAGCCTTCAGCGTCTCTCTCTTCACTCCTCCCCCATGTCGCGGCTGATGTCCATGATGTGAAATAAAATCTCCTCGCTTTTACAAACCGTAGCACAGTTTGTGGAAAAGAGCCAGACAGTGCATTCTCCACACCCAGGCTGAGACACGTGCTCTAATGCCACCCGCTGTTAGACTGCCAGCATGTGGTCATATCAGACTGTAAGCAGTACTTTAGACCAGTAATAACACTGTATATGAATGTATATTTTACATAGGGATTAAATGTGTATGGCATCACCTGCGTGTGTAAGCATGATCTTACCTCAGCTTCTAAGCTGGACAGGGCCTGGTTAGTACTGTGATGGGGGACCTTTGGGAACACCAGGGCCCACATTGCCTAATGTGGGTCATGAGACTGGTGTCGTAGGAGTCTGCTTAAGTTCTGAAAAGTTACATTTATCCATTTTCCTTTAAAATCACAATTTGTAATGATAATTCAATGATACAAATCTTTACAGATTCACTTTTATGTGATAT